CCTTCATCTGAATGGTTACACACCAGGATTTTATTCAGACCTACAAGTTAGATCTACTTTCCAAGGTTAGGTTTAAAAAAGTACCAGGTCTTGCTTAATTAGCTTTCATTACTTGAGTGGTTCTTATTTAGGATTTAGTTTACAGGGAAGAGGTATATGTTTAACACTTCTGGACCAAAGAGTTAAAGTAAGTACATTTCACTGCTCTATTTTCTTTACCTTTTAGTCTTTGCTTGTTCCTGACGGTCATTTTCCAAGTCTTTCTTTGGCGAGTCAAATGGACAACTCCCCAGAGGACCATCAAAATAAATCTTCGGCCACTCCTTCAACTCATGAACCAATGGCTTGTAAGCACGACTATGATCCTCCACCTTGATAAATGGGGCATGCAGCTTTCGCACCTTGGGCTTGACACCCTGTTTTGCAACTCGTCCAGAAACTAATGGCTTGGATGTTGGTTTCTTTTCAATGCTACCATACTGTTCCAACCTTTTTAACATCTTTTCCAGTGACATAATTTCTACACCCCAGTTTGTTGCATTAGCTATGACGTTACTGCTTCCACCCTTGTAGGTAATAGCTCCTTGGGCTGCTAGTGCTTTGCCACGCATGTCATGTTTGGGGACAGCTGTGCCTGTTTGTTCAGCACCAACCGAGTCAGCACTCAATGGAGATGGTACAGCAGACCCTTTTGCTGATGAACTAGGGGAATCACGATGAAAAAAAAAGAGAAAAATATGAAAACTGCTTTTACATGCAGGTAACCATGACTATAGAGTTGATTTTAGATAGCAATCTCAGAAGGATCATTTTAGTTGAGGTCATGTTAAATTTTCTACCTTTTTGTGTTCCCAGGAAACGGACTTGGAATCGACAAGATGGGACTTGGTGTGGAGTTACTTCTGGGTGAACAGCGTGTGCCGGCATCTCTACTGGTTGTTACAACACAACTGATGTCCTTGCTTAAGAATTCTTCAACAGTCTGTTTCATAATAACGAGAATTCAAGAATTCAAAATTTATTTTCAGAAGCACTTTATCTTATTAGAGTCAAGTTCATAGTTTCAATGTATATGTATTTTAAATCCTCTACTGTATTTTGACAAACCTACATCACTGTCAGGCTTAAGTACAGTATATACATGTACAATGAATTAAACAAATAAATTAAGTACTCTTACCCTAACAATGTACATACAGCTGTAGCAAATTCTAAAAAATTTATCAGCGTGTGGTCTATGTGGAATTCTGCTTTCAGTATAGAGCAATCATTTACTGAATGCCATATTCTAGCCCTGAGGGTGGTATCCTATTACTGTAGCTAATGCACCGGACTCTAAATAAAGTGGCATTGCAGTCTGATTTTCTGCACTGGCAAATGTCACTGCATAGGGTAGTCTGGGGGCATGCTCCCCCATAAAAATGTGAAATCTAGAAGCTTGGAAATGCTATTTTGTGCATTCTCCATGAGATATTTTGACAAATAATTGAAAGTTGTAAATTTATTGTAAATTTTATGAGTCCATAAGCACATTAGATCCTATGTTAAACAACCCCACAAGCTCCGTGGCTTTGAAAACTATCATTTTAAAATAACGGTTGATTGATTGATTGAAGTGTAAAATGATAAGTATTTTTAGAGCTTACAATGATATTTTTGATGTTTTGTTAACTTGATGCATATCTCGCTACTTCTGCTATCTTGATTTAATATGTTCAGTGAAATCTAAGGAGAGTACCAAGCCCCATCTGGAATCACGAACTCTCTCCAAGTTTCTCCTCACATTGTTTAATCAAAGAGGCTGCTAACCACGCGGAGAAAATAGAGGACTGTAAATGGTCTCTTGTCTTTTAATTGCTATCCTTTTGATTGCTCTTTCGTCAAGATGAGTGAATCAGTTGTGAAAAGTTGCACAGGTAAACTAATCAGAGTAAAGTTTGAACTATCTACACATAACACTCCACAACAAATATAATATTTTTTTTTGGGGGGGGGGGTGTGAGGGGGGCAACTGCCACCTTCGTTCCTGCACTACATATAGCTATGGCCTTGTCCCAGGAGATTAAATTGCATGGTGACATAATTTAAAGGTCATACATTGCAACACCTGTTATGACTGAGATGTTATGGGTGAACTTGTTTGCTGTTGATATAACTGTTACAGGTGTAAAGATCAAGACTCACAACTTGATGACAGCCTTGCAATACAGAGTAGCATACTGGCAAACTGCCTGGCCCACTTTATTCCAAGGTAAAGTTGCAAAATAAGCTTCCTGAGCAATTATTCAAGGTATAAATAATGAAATAAAGAAAGGCAGTAAACTTTAGGGGAATTTCATCAAGAAGATTCCTCACTCTTACCCCTCCTAATTCCTTTATTCGAGCTTGCAAACTGTGCACTTTCCTATAACCTTGAAGATCCAAGTAGAATGTCTCGCCTTTTAAAGGTGCCTGCTGAAATTCAAGCCTTCTCTTTCCTCTGGGACTTATTTCTTGAAACAGGAAGGAGAAAATAAATTTCACAACTGGACTGAACAAATGAAAGTCTGTGCAGAAACTAACCTTATGCATACATTCCAAGAATCAACATGGAAACATCAACTATTCCTTGTAAGTGCATGCACAATACAATTCATTCCAGCGAAATCTTTGCATGTCGCCTCAAAATGAAGCGGTTGAATCTTACTACACTGAAGCACCACTCTTGGGAATTGAGATCAATATGCAAGAGTTCAATCAATTTCAGACGATTTATACATCACACAACACAGATTTGATCTGTTTTGCGGAAAGTGCAGCGCAGCAAAATGGTTGTGATAACATTTAAGGTCCTGTTTTCCGACATCAACATAAAATCAGACCAAGATCCTAAACGCTTAGTGAAAACAAATTCATGTCCACGGCCGTAAACGCCAAAACAAAAGAAATTAACACCATAAGCGTCTTTCGCGTCTACAAGCGTAGGGGCCCGAGATTCAATTGAAACGAACTTCAATAGATGCATCAAAGAAGCGTTTTTGTTCCACTTACTGCATTTTCTCGACAGTTCATTCACTGATGGAGTCTTCGTTCTTCTTCGAGGACTTCGACGAACAGCATTCACTGGCATCGACACTCGACGGTTGGAAGACATAATTCGTGGCTCTTTGAAGGAAGATCGCGCTTGATATATCCTCTGATGATAACTGCTGTTAAAAGGTAATCATTGATGTCGACGAAAGGGAACGATTGAGGGAGAGAGAAAGAAAAACGGCGAAAGATCTAGGCTTAAACAAAGCGATGTTCAGCTGTTTTCACATGGCGCTTTCCCGGGCTTGGAATGAATGATTTTTTCATGCAAGCGCGGGAAATCCCATCATGCGTTGCAGCCGTATGAGGCTCCGCTGACCTGAAGAACTCATCACGCAAAAGTTTTCTCATTAATTTTCTCCGCGCGGGGCCGGGTTGCTCCATCGTGAAAGCTTCACTAAAAAGGTAAATATAGAGATTCCTATGTATTCACTTACTTTAAGAGATTAGTTTCATCCAAGGTAGTTTCTGCTGATTTCGTAAATGTCCGCATCCAACACGGACGCTCATTGTAAATACGCACCCGAAATTTTACAAATGCACTGCTAATGTAATGATTCAGAAACCTTGAATAGGTTTTTCCAGTTGTAGAGAACCTAGATAAGAAGCTGCGTAAACGGTAGCCCGGGACGCTGGGAAAAACTGAGAGGGAGACAGAAAGGAGAACGGGGGAGTTATCCAATGGACAGGGATAAAAGTCTATTATGACACCACAAGGACAGGGATTGATGAGAAATAAAAGCTAAGAAGCGCTTATCACCACCACCCCCCACTCATTAATATGCAGGGAGCAGAATATGCATCACCAATTCTCTCTTTGCCCTGCTCAGTCTTCTTCTTTAGCCTGTGCACAGCTACAGTGTACTCACCTATTTAGCTAGGGAATGGGTTAGAATTAAACACAGAATTGAAATTATGATATACTAAGTTCTGCAATGTTTCAATGTGCACATAGAACATTGTGTGGTTCCAGAAAAATATCTGCACCCACCCCAAGGAGTGTTACAGGAAAAAAGGCAAAATTTTTATAGGAAACTATGAACCAAAACTGCATTTTCCAGAGGGGTATTAGTTAGTTTCTGGAACAACACATTGAAAAGGCATGAAAGTTCACTTTGCTGTTTGTGAATTAGGTACAGAACTGGAAATTGAATAATATTTTGATACAAACTGGGAATTTCTAGAGGAATGTGCAGATATGGTTGTATCCCAATAGCTGCAAATGAGACTAAAAGTAAGAGTGGTTCTTATTATAATTATTATTGAATCAAACTTGACAACCGCACAATAATAATAAATTCCTCAAATATAACTTTACTTTTTGTGTGTTTTTCCTAAATAAAAATATCATTCATTTTTGACAATAACTCCCAGCAACATACATGTACTGGTAAAATTAACCTTGTCAACATTGTCTTTAAAACTCAGAACGTAATTTCATCATTATTTTGACACAACATCTGTTGCTAAAAACTCCTGACCATAGATTTGTACATAAAATGGCTCTCAGTCCTGACATTTCTCTTTCCAAAACACCTACAAATAATAGACAACAAGGCAATATACAAGAGAAACTATATATAACATTATTATATTAAATATTCACAAAATATATGATCCATTTTGCAACAAAACGCAACCTCTTCATATTAGAATTGGAACACCAACTAA